TGGTGGAAGTGCTTATAATCAAAACAGATATCCCAAATGGTTATTGTCCTTGTATATATATATATGTCACCAGATGCAAATCTTCAGCAGTTTAAAGATCAACTTATGAAAATAGAATGCTGCTTAGAAAACCTCAGAATCTCAGCCCTAAACATTATTTTGCTTGGTGACTTCAACTTACAGCAACTAAAATGGATAAAACGGTGGGAAAATACAGTTTTATCAGAGGGAATCCCAGGAAATAGTCTAATTGAACAATCACAAAGAAATGGCCTCTTTTGGATGTGTGATAGATTTGCATTAAACCAGCAAATACTGTAGAATCAACCAGAAAACACCTTAGATCTTATTTTTACAATGAATGGGATAGGAACATAATGATTACAAATACATGTTACTCAGATTAGAACCTAATCAAAGTTCAAACTATCATGGACAACAGTCCTGTGCAGCCAGTCTCAAATCTAAGAGGACAGTTCAGCCAATTTAATTTTAATAATAAACTGATAATGGGGAAACTAACAAACCAAAATCTCACAGAAATATGCTGGGAAGAACAGCTAGATAATGCTAACTTAAACCAGTACCTTGAGAAAATAGGCACAGTAGCACTAGCAATGTATGAAAGTCACATACTACTAATGAGAAAGAGAAAAAGATCAAACTGGAACATAAATGGCCTTCCCTTTGTGTCAAAAAAAAAAAAAAAAAAAACATAGACCATAAGCGAAATAGAGAGGAATCCAAAATACTTTTTCTCCTATGCAAAAATCTAGAACAAAAACTACATCCAGCATTGGGTCATTGCACAAGAAGATGGAACTTTCACAGATGGCAACAAGGAAATAAGTGAGATACTGAGGTTACAGTACGATTCTGTTTTCAGTGAACCACTCGCTGAACACGTTGAAGATCAATGATCCAGATGAATTCTTCTATGACACCAACATCGAACCATATATCAGATGTCACCCTAACCCCACTGGACTTTGAAGTAACTATAGATAGCATGCTCATGCATTCTGCACTAGGCCCAGATTCTTGGAATTCTATATTAATCAAGAATTGCAAAACACCACTATCACAGGCCCTAAACATCTTTTGGAGACGGAGCCTAGATACTGGCGTTATCCCAGACATACTTAAAACAGTAGAGATCGTGCCACTTCACAAAGGAGGTAGTAAAGCAGATGCAAAAAATCATAGACCAATAGCTCTAATATCACACATCATAAGAATCTTTGAAGGAGTGTTAAAAAGTAAGATCACAAAACACATGGAATCACAGTGTCTACATAACCCCTGGACAACACGGATTCAGGACAGGGTGCTCATGCCTCTCTCAAATGCTATATCATTATGACATGGCCTCAGATGCCACAGATGACAAGCAAAATGCTGATGCAATTAATATATACAGATTTTGCAAAAGCATTCACCCAATGTGACCATGGTGTTATTGCACACAAAATGTACACAAAAAGAATTACTGGCAAAGGAGGGAGATGAATCTTTAACTTTTTAATGAACAGAACCCAGAGTCTAACAGTCAACAAAGTAAAATCTTGATCATCTACTGTGAAAAGCTCAGTCCCCCAAGGTACCTTACTTGCTCCGGTACTTTTTCTCATCCTAATATCAGACATAGACAAGAATACAAACTACAGCACTGTATCATCATTTGCAGATGACACTAGGATTTTCATGCGAGTAGACAATATAGAGGACACGGCAAACCTCCAATCGGATGTAAATCGGGTCTTTCAATGGGCCACAATAATATGATGTTTAATGAAAGTAAGTTCCAGCTCCTGCGCTATGGAAAAAAAACGTAAATGTAAAAACGGAAACCATATATAAAACGGAATCAAATCACACTATAGAACGAAAAAGCAATGTAAAGGATCTAGGAGTAATCATGTCAGAAGACCTTACCTTTACAGAACACAATAAAGTAGCTGTCACGACTGCAAGAAAAATGACAGGTTGGATAACAAGGACCTTCCAAACAAGGGATGCCATACCAATGATGATACTTTTTAAGACACTAGTGCTCTCTAGGGTGGAATATTGTTGCACACTAACAGCCCCATTCAGAGCTGGAGAAATTGCTGACCTGGAGAGCGTGCAAAGATCCTTTACCGCTAGAATCCACTCTATAAATCATCTTAATTATTGGGACCGATTAAAAGTTCTAAATCTGTATTCTCTAGAGCGCAGGCGAGAGATACATAATAATCTACACGTGGAAAATATTAGAGGGACTGGTTCAAAATCTGAACACGGAAATAACATCACATGAGACCAGTAGGCATGGCAGGATGTGCAAAATAGCCCCAATGAAAAGCAGAGGTGCAACAGGTACGCTGAGGGAGAACTCTAGCAACATCAAGGGCCCAAGAGTTTTCAACACTCTCCGCTACACGTAAGGAACATAACGGCCAGCCTCTCACAGTGTTCAAGAGAGAAGTCGACAAAAACACCTCCAAAGAATACCTGATCAACCAGGCTGTGATTCATACGTCAGGCTGCGAGCAGCCGCGTCCAACAGCCTGGTTGACCAGACAACCAACCGGGAGGCCTGGTCTGAGACCGGGCCGCGGGGCCTTTGATCCCCGGAGAGAGACAAATTTCAATTGCTGCTTCAACCCAAACAGACCAGCTTCCAACATCACCTGCAACCGAAACCATGCCACTTCCACCCCCCCCCCCTCCCCTGAGGCAGACCCAACACCAGTTTCAGCAACACCAGTTACCCAGGCATCAACTTCCACACAGTCCACCTCCATCCTAGACCAGTCAACCCAACAACCAATGGAAACCTCAACACCTTCCGTCAACAGGCGGGTGATACAGGCGAAAAGGAAAGCAAAACGCCAACAAGTAGAATCGGATTCAGAATCAGAATCTGATCCACAACCAGAGGAACCAATTGATCCAGCCAATATGGCAAAGATCATTACATACGTAGCACCAGACTTTGATCCAAACCCAAGCAGGTCAAGCAAGAAAAAACCCTACTTTAGCATCTTCCTTCATGATGACGACATTTTCAATGGTAACAGCAGCACAAGAATAGTCATTGCCTTAGAATGCAACCGGCTCATCGAAGCCTTCACAGGCAACTCTGCCTTTCCTCACCCTATCTTTGTCCACCAGGAGACCGTGGAACAATATGTAGACCTCACTTCCCTGAAGAGAGAATACATCGACCCAAAATTCAATTTCAAGAAAGGACAAATGCCTTTCTTGGACAAATACAAAGACCCGATAAGAACTCCAATACCACCGCTGTCATTTGGAAAGTACATGCAAATACCTCCCTGCCAAGGTGCCACCAAGCAACAGTGAACTTACCTCTCACCATCTCAATAGGGAAGACGACACCTCCAAGCCAGACAAAACACCTCAAGTGAACCAGGATGACATGACACCGCCTCACCACTAGCCTCCTGCCGAATAAGAAGAACTCAAGCTACAGGCTTAGGCCGAAAAAACATCTACAATCCGCGGTGGAAAGGCTACCAAACTTTCAAGCCTCTCTCCACATCTAGATCCTCTTCCAAGAATTTCATCGCCCCATCCTTCTTCCTCCCACATCCTCTCCAAGTTATTTGGACATCAAAGCTAAAAAAAAAAAGAAAAAAATGTTAAATAATGGATTACAGGTAAACTGAAGTTATAAATGGTGCTAGGATTGTTTTAAATGCTTGGGTTTTATATCATATATCATGTCATATCTTAGGTTTTATATGGAAAGAGTTTTACGAAGGACTGTGATTACATAGGGGCGTACAATTTATGTGAGATGGGTTATATGAAAGCACTTGGATTTTGCTTTGGACAGGTATGCCATGGGAATACATTACATTAGGTGAATTAGGTTACATAAAGGTCTCATATTATGTGGGAGAAAAGGGGTTGCATATATAGCTGGAGTTACAAGAAGCACCAAGTTGCTGTATACAAAATATAGGGTCATAAGGGGCTGAGGCTATACAACAGACTGGAATTAGTTGTGGTATTGGATTCTCGGTGACTCCAGAGACTAGAGCTGCACAAGAGATTGTGGCTATCCAAGGGACTTCTATTTTAATTTGCCTGTTGTCACATATTTCTTCAAAAGTACAATACAAGTCCCTTAGGTCTCCACAGTCTCTCGTGCAACTCCAGTCACTTGAGTCCTGGAGTCATTTTGTGAATCCAATCCCTTAAATAATTCAAATTGTATTAGTTGGCTTTGTTCTTGACTCGCAATCAGGAAACTGTGATTTGATTCTGAGACAGGACAGAAATGGTTGAGCACGTTTCTTTCAACTAGTGTGTGTGTTCACCTTGCAGTAAATAGGTACCCAGGAGTTAGGCAACTATTGTGGGGGTTGCATCCCTGGGAAGGATCAGTAGTTCAACCTTAGGGGGACATCAATACAAGCCTAAAGTATGCATGTACATATGTATATACCCAGTACATGCATGCATGTAGGCTTTGTCCCAACAAAACTAGTTAATTTTGCATACAGTAACCCCATGTGTCTTGTACCCCGAGCTAATTATTTTATGCAGGAATAGTTATATGTGTGATATGGTTTGGATTTCTAATTTGTTGACTTTATAACTAGCATGTTCGAAAGTACTTATGGAGATATTTTAGGCAAATTTTTTTTTTTAACTTTTAGGAACAAAAACTAGTTATTCATATTTAATATAGACTTAAACCATCTCACAGTTAACAACAGACCTTCCTGTAACCTCAGGTCGTCATGTAACCTATACCTTGCATAACACTAGTGATTAGTCACTTGTATAATCCCATTTTTTAACAATAAATGTAAACAAAGGGGGTAAAAGTGAATTAATTTTGTTTAGGGGATAAAGGGCGAGTTACACCCAGGATACTCTACACAGTGTGATGATTTTTTGTTTATCATAGCACCTGAGGTGCTGTGATGGTACTGTAATTGGTAATCAAACAAGTTAATTCTTGATAATTGACTTTTCAGCTCAAAGTGTCTGGCAGCAACCTGACGTCAGTTTGCAAGCTGGTGTTTAAGGTGACCCGCCATGACACTAATGATGCCCTCTTCCTGGAAGGAAACCTTCTTGACCTGCTGCTGGAGGCCGTGGCTTGTGTACCACCCCTTGACCAGCCTGAAGCCTGTGTCTATGGCTACGGTGCCCTCAAATTCCTCACAATGAACTCCCAGCTCGTCTCCAGGTTACTCAACAGGGGAATCTTGGAGCTTCTTGTCCTGCATATGAAACTGATTGTTAGCCATGTGAGTAATTGGGCTAAGGTGGAAGGCAGAAAGCTAAAAGATACACTGGGAAAAAGAAGAGATGAGAAGATAGGAAAATAAGTGGCAATAGTGACCCTTGGTTTAAATATGTAATAGGAAAGATTCAGTTGACTAGAAAGACTAAGTGAGAGAGAGCAAGAAAAAGTGATAGGTTAAATGAGATGGAGAGATAATGAATAAAAGTGACAGCTTGGCTGGTGAAAGGAGTTTCTAGTTTTTTGTATATAGCTGCATGCATGCATATAATAAAATTGTATCTATAAATTATTTCTAGTGTGAATTACAACTTATAAAAGTAAATCATTAGGACTTTAACCAACATGTACATTGAAGGTAATTTGTCTTGGCCTAGTAGATAAAATGGCATATTGAAGACTTCGCTGTTATTTATGGGGACCTATTAGCCTCCACAGCTTCACTTTCATCTAATACTTTGTACATAATTACAATAGCATTTATATCCTATTTTTATTTTCTCTACTGAATGTTTCAGTACTAGTACAAACATAAACTGTCTCTTCTTAACCCACCAACCAGTTTATCGGTTATTGTGCTTGCATCATTCACTACACTCGGAAAAATTCTTAAATCGGAGAATTTAAATTCTCTGGAATTGACAAGGTAGACAAGGATGGCTTATTTAACACAGGTAGTACACACACGAGGGGACACAGGTAGAAGCTAAGTACCCAAATGAGCCATAGAGACATTCAAAAAAACTTTTTCAGTAGTTAGTAAATGGAATGCACTAGGAAGTGATGTGGTGGAGGCTGACTCTATACATAGTTTCAAATGTAGGTATGATGGAGCTTGAGAAGCTCTGGAATCTGTACACCAGTAGATTTATGGTTGAGAGGCGGGACCAAAGAGCCAAAGCTTAACCCCCGCAAGCACAACTAGGCGAGTACACCTGTTTTACCTATTGTGCCACATATTTTATTCCATTCACCACCTGGTCCTTCTGCCACAGCAACAAGAGACTGGAAGTGTGCCAGAACAGACCCACTATGCCTTGGTGCAGCTGACAGGGACACTTCGCCATGTAAGCAGCTGTGAGAGGACATTTCCACTCCTGCTGGTGACCGGTGCTGTTCCTCAAGTGTGTGCCCTCCTTGACCACTTCTCTCATGACCAGGATGTCACTGCCAACGTCGTCAGGATACTTAGGTGCATAAAGGAATTTTTAAAGAGGAGTTGTGATTCAGTTCTTTTGTGTAGGGTGCATTGAAAGATTCCTGGTATATGAGTTGATACTATGGTGTAAAATGCACTGAAGGGTCTCATTTTGGTAACTTGTGGACTAACATTGTGGTACAGTGTGTATTAATTTAATGCGGTGGTGCTTTGTGAATTGCTGAGCATAGCATAGTGTGTGTTGAAGGGATTCCTGGTGGTATGAAGCAAATTGATGTTGTGGTGTTGGCCTAGTGTGCAATGAACCCATTTTGTCATTCTGTGATCCTGTGGAAGGGTTCAAAGACTATTATTAGAATTCTGAATTACTGCTTGGAATTCTCCATTCCATTGTCTAGATATAGTTTTGTCATAAATTGTTATCTCTCATGCTTGAATTTTTATGTTCATTTACAAATTCCTCATACCTGAGGTTCTTGCAAAGGTTCAAGTAAGTGTCATAATTTTCATATGACTTACCAGAGTAGTTTGGTTTATCTTTTAGTCACTTAAAATGTTTCATACCAGAAGAACTTTAATCTAAATAAATGCCTCCCACTTCCCACTGGCTAAGGAGCCATACTCCTGATGGGGTCAACACCGTCTTCTCCTCCTCTTGCATTGTAAAAGAAAATGGTATTATTTGAAAAGCAAATTACAGATAATTGTTGTGTGTAGTATTGTACAGAACAACATTAATTTTTTTTCTCAAAATTTATGTACAGTATAGATTTATCTTTAAGAAAAGTCCAAAATAATATACCTGTATAACAGCAAACCAGGCGGTGAATATAAACCAGTGTAGTGAGACTTAATTACTAAATGGAATAGCATTGAATTTTGTAACTGCTGAACTTAATTCCATCTGTTAAATATTGTTATATTTCATGATAAAGAGTATTGACAGGTACACTAAGGCTTGTAAAATAATATTTAACTTTACTGTAAAAGTAACATTACTAGTACCTGCAGCAATTAAAAGAAGCATGAAAAAATTAAGCTTGAGGTGCATTAGATTTTGATAATAAAGGAAATGACACGAGGCCTTTTGGATCATATCCACTTTACTCTTCACCTTTACAGTGAATGTAAATTTAAGCTTTCTTAATCTCTTTGATAAAGGAAGTTCCTAATGCCCAAAATTAGTTTGACCATCCGTCTCTGCACACTTTCAAGGAAATTACACTTGTTTTATTGTATGGTTCACAAAACTGAACTGCATAATCTAAAGGGGTCCTGACAAGGGAAATAATAACATTAGATGCTTTAATACTAATGTTTTTATATATGAATCCAAGTATCCCTAAACTTTTGTTCCTTAAAATGCCTCGTTAAAAAAAAAAAAATAAGTGCATCGTTTACAGCATCATCTCCACCCACGAGGAGTGCTGTGCTGCTGCCGCTGCCCACCCTGCCACTCTACCTGCTGCGGTGGCTGCCCTTCGCCGCCATGCCACATCCCCAGCCATAGTGGTGAGGTTGGCTTATGCCCTTGGCAACATGATGGCCAACTCTGATGATGCTAGATGGAAGGTAAGAGAGAGAAATGTAGTAATAGATGGTCACAGTAACACTGATCTACAGTAGAAATGGTAATGACATATTTGAGAAAGGATAGTCAGAAAATTATATACATATATATCAGTGTTTTTTTTATATCATTAATACAAGAGATGTTTTAATTCATAAAATATAAACAAATTGGATTAACAAAATAAAGTAAAGGAACCAGTCAGCCAACTACCATATGTATATACAGTATACTTGTACCATACATTTTACAATTTGCCCCACCATGAGTAACTACTCTGTATGGATGTCCTTAACAAATAAATCCTTGTCCCACTTAGCTGTTCAGCGAAGATGGGTTCACAGAGACGCTGCTGGATCTATTAATGGAGTACCTGCGACGCGATCGCCACCACCAGGCTGAAGAGATCATAGATAATCTCACCCCTGCTAGTGGGACCCCGGAGGATGTCATGGTCAAGGTTTGTATTCTGTGGCTTTAACAATGGCTGTTATTTAATTTCACTAATGGTGTTAGGGTCAAAGTCTGTGCCCTGAGATCCTGTTGATGGCTCCATTGTTTAGTACCTCTGATTTAGTTTCTTTGACTCTGATATTTATGATTGTATAGTCCTTGCTATTTGGTTATCTATTGCTGCAGCTATTCCCATCAAAGTTCATTGATGTCATTCTCTTCATTAAATGCATGCTTATTTTACCTGTACCATAGCTGGTTAATAACTTCTACTAACACAATTTTGCCTTTGCTGATACTACTTCCATGGTAAACGATTAAAATGGTGAAAATAATGATTGGGTGGCTGCACAGAGCACAAAGTGCTGACATTAATGTAGAGAAGCACCAAGTTGAGAACAGTTTACTAAAGATGAGGTTTTGAATGCAAGTCTAAAGGTTTTATTAAAGTTTACATTTTATAACGTTACATTTGATGAAGACTTTATAGGCATAACTTAATCTTAAATTGAGCTTTATTTAAGATAATAATGTTTAATAATAATGGCAATAGTGATAAAAACCAGAAACTTGTGCACATGGTGAGCTACTTTTGTTCGCATCACATTACAGTCAATTGCAACAATTGCAAAATTGACTATTTTCTGACCAACAGCTGATCCGGGTACTGGCCAATGTATCGGTGCATGCACGTGTGGGGCCCGTGCTGGCTCGTTCGAGAACTTGTCTCTCGCTGCTGATCTCCGTGCTCCAACACAAGGCTGTAGATGAGAGTGAGGAGCTCGTGTTGTCGGCCCTTGCTACCCTCAATAATCTGACCTTCTACACTCGTGACCAGCCCATCTCTGCCTTGCACACACAGCTAGCAGAGTGTAAGAAAGAGAGGGAGTGAGAGTGGGGTTGTATAAATATAAAGCAATGTATATTTGTTAGAACAGAGCTAATACCTTCTATCATAGTACACATAAGAAACTTAGTCTCCATAAATTATTGATGAGCCCAACTCGGCTCTCTACACACACAGTTAAGTTGAAAGTTTTGGAAAAGGAAAGAACAGGCAGTGAAGAAGGGGAAATACACAGGTAGATGAATAGAGAAATGAGCAAAGGAGCTTGAAAGATAAAGGATGAAGTAGGTGATTTGGGGGGGTGGGGGAGGGGGCAAGTAAGAGGTACTTTGAAGCAATATTACAGGATACTGAGAATGGTAATAAAATGAGGAGGAAGTAATATGGAATCAATTCTTCTAATCTTAGTGTGACAAAAAGCAATTCATGAAAATACTTGGGGGGCTGTTTGTGCCAAATGACTGCGGAGCTACGTGCTACAGACACTGGCCTCACAAGGTGTTCGTTGCAGGTCTGTGCGAGATGCTGCCCATGGACCACGTAGAAGGACTAGTGGAGACCATCCGTGTGTTTGGCAACCTCACACACTTTAGGGACATCAGAGACATACTCACCAAGCGTGCTGGTAAGTTTGTGCCTTCAGACACAAGAGCTAGTGTTCAAATTTGTCCTGAATTATTTAAAATACTTAACATAAAATAACATTAGGTTGTAAAAAATTTTTTTTGTATATATTTACTTTGTCAGAAAGCCACTGATAGGCATAGTCTTTTGGCCAAGACTTGTGGCTAACAAACTATTTGAGATATAAACTGATATTTTGCAGTAATTTGAAGTAAAAAATATAATAAGTTCAGCCCGTGCTCTAAACAAAGACTCCAAAGTCCATTCCATGCACCCACCAAACCCCGTTTATGAATGTATAACGATTTACACACGACTCACGACTGATGACGTCCGAACACTTCCGGAACAAGTGCTTCGCTGACGACTTTTGTTCGAACTACAACGCTGTAAATGCTTCACCCATGTACGTACTGGAAATACAAATAATCGCCAACAGAACCTAAACACCTAACCTAACCTATGCCTATATATGCACAATATGCTAATATATTATAATATATATAATTTATATTTGAGAAAAGTTCTGTTTTGAATGAACAGAATGTTAAAATTGATAAATGCGTCTTTGGGGTTGATAGATAGAATGAGGATAGAATGGACTTGGTCCGAGGATGGGTTGAGTGAGTTTTAAATTAAAGCTAGTGGGTATATTATAGGTAATAATTTAAAATTATATTGGTTATAAAAGTTAAATTTGTGTAATACAGTACCTGTAATAAGTAAAGTACAATAATGGCACAATGTACCTTCAGATGGTTTATTGTTCTTTAATACTGTAATGCAGGTACAGTAGCAATTCTTTACATGATTAGTGAGTTGGCTTTTATAGGGCTTTTATTTGCATGGTGTGCTGCATACATTTAGTTGGACTTCAGAGGGGGGGGGGGGGGGGGAATATATTTATTTCTTGCATGATATTCATGAATTCTATTACAGTATATCTATCTAGGAATAGTTTGAATTTAGGGTTAACGTTGAGGTATTGGCCTTGCAAGTGTAAAGAGCACAGGAGAATGTATGGGTGGATGTGTTCGTCATGTTCAGAGGGACTGTATGTTGTCTGAATACATGATGGATGACAATGGGTTTTTAGGTGATTGATCAAGCCTCGTCCACAGATACCATAGGGCAAAATTTTTAAGTGAAATAATGTGAGAAGAGCAAAATATGGCAAATAAAATGCCAACTAATTTTAGATACTTTCTTGGCTGTGTTAAGACTAAAGGAGATGAAAGTACAGTAGTGTCATTAGTACCTGGAATAGGTTAGATGGCTAAATGTATTTGGCAAGTCATTGATATACAGTACTGTATGCAATATATGAAATACAAGAGGTCCTGTTATGCTGCCTGTAGTAGACAACCTCCCCAACTTTTACTTTGATGACTATATCGAGATATGATTGAATATAATTGACAGAGTTGCCTTGAATTTCAGTGCTGAAGGTAGTATACGTTGTGATTAATGGTATCGAATGCCATACTTCAATTCCCATTTGGTCTCTTTATCAAATTATGTTGTATATTGCATGCCATAAGTGAACTTATGGCATCATTTGTATTCTTGTGGCTTCTTTAGCCAGATTGGATGGTGGAGTATAATATGTAGAGCTTCACAAGGTAGAAATACAACTCCTTGTGTATAATATTTTCAAATATTCTTTATAGTATTGTATTGGTAGATTTCATATCAGTATGTACTTATTTGTCAGCAGTACCACTGACTTTGTGCAGAAGAGTTACTTTTTATCTTTGTAGTGTACCGGGAAATATTTGAGATTGATTAGAGATTCTTTTGAGAGTTAGGGAGATATTCATTAGAATAATTAGCAATAGGTATATTAAATTAGGAATAGCTTTTAGTGAGACATGTAATAAACAATTTAGTCTGGAATATTTCTGGCAAGGTTATCCCAAATTGATTTAAAGAATTTATTTAACTCTGATACATTTTCTTAACGAGACGCTAGTATAATACTGCCGTTTGTTTGATTTGTTATGATTTTTTTTTAATTTCCCTAGAATGTTAGAGAAGGGTTTTTCTGTTTCTTTTTATTTATTTTAAATCTGTTTAAAAGTAGGATAGTGTCTCTGATTATATCGCTGGAGGTTGCAGTATACATTAATACTATACAATACAATACTGTTATTAAATTTTACAGCGTTTTGCTTATTTTTCATTTCAAATACATTTTCCTCTTAAAAACCCAGAGATAGTGCTGTGTGAAAAGGTCATAGCATCTAAGTGAAGTTTACAAAAGTGAAATGTTAGATTAACTATTAAAGACGTCTTGGCTAGTTAATGAAAGTCTGTTTTGCTAAATGTATAGGAATTCTGCCTCCTTTCTTACCTAGTATATGTTTGAATAAGCGTTCGACTGAACTTAGCATTTTACTTTTTTGCCATGTACAGTATTGGAAGTTTTGGTGGAGATGCTCGACTGTGATTCCCGAGAGTTGGTGTACGTGTGTGCAGGCGTTCTTGTCAACCTTATGTCAGATGCTTCCAGAAGATCAATATTTAAGGATGAAAATGGAGTTTTGAGGTATGTGCCTTCATAACTAGTGCCTAGAAATTTATGAAAATACATGAATGCAATATTTTTTGTACAGAATTGTTTAATTCTCATCTCAAAGGTATACTACTTCCAATGTTGTTTACATACAGTGTATTGCAGTGTTCATTAATGACATTTGTGTTTTACATTTTAATTCTAATAATTGAATCAAAATTCAAGTAAATCTTAATTTTTTTATATCAATCCATTCTTTTACATTTTTAAAGTTTTTCTAAATATTGCTGTAGGGATGCTTTAAGCTTTAAATGGAAATTGAAATCAATGACTAAAGTAAAAATTGATGAAATTTTCATTGTAGAGCAAGTTGTGCCAGCCGGTGGTACAGAGTTTGGTTGCAGTCCTTGGCCAGTTCTGCAACAATGGCTGAGGACTGCAGCTGAAGACTGAAGCAGAGGACTGTACCACTGGTTGAAGTCTTCGGCCAGTGGTGCAGTCCTCTGCTGCAGTCTTTAGTCCCAGTGCCGACAATGAGTCGCAAAAAAATGTGGCAGAAGATATGATGCCAAATCACACACCAAAAGATGAAGAAACTACGACGTTTCGGTCCATCCTGGACAGTTATCAAGTTGTATGCGATGAGGGAGAAGGCATGGGCAATAAATAAGGAAAGAGTGAGGTGGGAAGCATGAAGAAACAGAAGGTAAGAATAGGATGAAGGAAGAAAGGGATAGGAAAGAATAAGAGGGTAAGAAAAAGGGGGGTAGAGTAATGTCAGGTCACGAGTGTTAGGAAGGTTAAAGCATTTGAGTCTGTACTGTGAAAGGGAAGAGTCGACAACAACAAAGCCAGGACTAAGGTTCATGTTCGGTATGTTGTGTATCGGAGCCGATTCGACAAAATGGCATCTGTGAAGAGTAGAATCAGGAAAGATTTTAGAAGAAGACCAATCAAAACAATGATTAGAATCCCTAACATGACAAAAGAGAGCATTGTATCTGTTGACTTAACACTTTTGTGTTCCTTAAGTCTGTCGTTTAAGGAATGCAAAAAGACTTGAGGAATATAAAAGGTTTGATAAGCCTGCAGACACAAACAATGCTCTCTTCTGTCATGTTAGGGACTCGAATCATTCTATTGATTGGTCTTCTAAAATAATCTTTCCTGATAATATTCTTCACACATGCCGCCGTGTTGAATTGGCTCCGATACACAACATACCGAACATGAGCCTTAGTCCTGGCTTTGTTGTTGTTGATTCTTTCCTTTCATAGTACATACTCAAATGCTCTAACCTTCCTAACACTCATGACCTGACATTACTCTACCCCCATTTTTCTTACCCACTTATATTCCTACCTATCCCTTTCTTCCTTCATCCTATTCTTACCTTCTGTTTCTTCATGCTTCCCACCTCACTCTTTCCTTATTTATTGCCCATGCCTTCCTCTCTCCCATCACATACCACTTGATAATTGTCCAGGATGGACCAAAACGTCGTAGTTTCATCATCTTCTGGTGTGGGGTTTGGTCATCCATGACCAGTGTTGGTATACCCAGATTATTGTGGAGAAATTAATTAGTAGGTCTTTCTTAGAAGCCTTTTGAGCGTGTTTAGTAGTTTGAGTGTAGTGAATGGATTTAGGGTGGTGTGGCAGTTGGCACCTTCCAACGGCATTCCTGTGGTGACCCAAAGTAACATTTTGGGACAGTCAGATATTGACACGGGCTTGTGTAGAGCGCAGGAAAGGTGACCAGATGTGGTTTGCAGAATTTTATAAATGCCAATACAAGCAATTAGTGGGGCATCAGTGCAGTACATCAAACAAGGCAGAGGGCCAGGACCCATGGTTGTCTTAACTGGCAAAGCTGAGATTGTTTTGACATGTCCAAACTGGTTGCTCCACACACCCCGTTCTTCCCAGTGCCGTGCAGACGTCCTTGGTGAAGTTGGAAGTAGTTCGTGAGTCGCATGTATGGGTATTATGAGTGACTAACATTGGCTGATAATTTGAGTGTGTGTTAAGGGAAGTCTCTGGAGATAGGTATTTAGGGTTTAGGATGTGACCAGCAAATGCTGGTGTGTATCACAATTTGTGATTAGGCGGTGTTGAGGGCTGGTGTAAATTTGGTATATACAGTATATACTAAATATATAGATTAATGCCTAGCTGTGGTTAGATTATCCCTAGTGTTCCTTGCCAAGCCATTCCTCCTTCATTGTAGGAGGAATGGTACATACTGATATATTAATCATCAGCATACACCAGTCGTCCTACAATGAAGCTACTGGTTTGGCAAGGAACACTAGGGATAATCTAAACACAGCTAGGCATTAATCTATATATTCAATATATACTGTATATACAAAATTTCATAAAATTTACACCAGCCCCCAACACCGCCTAGTCACAAACCGTGATACACACCAGCATCTGCTGGTCACATCCTAAACCTTAAATACCCATCTGCAAAGACTTCCCTTAATACACTCACTCACACTCTCTCTCTCTCAAATTATCAGCCAATGTTAGTCACTCATAAGACTCACAAACTACTTCCAACTTCACCAAGGACGTTTGCACGGCACTGGAAAGAAGGGGGAGTGTGAAGCAACCTGCTTAGACATGTCGAAACAATTTTGACTTTGCCAGTTGAGGCCACCATGGGTCATGGCCCTCTGCCTTGTTTGATGTATTGCACTGATGCCCCACTACTTGGTTGCGTTGGTATTTATTATATTCCTCAAACCACATCCGGTCACGTATCCTGTGCTCTACATAACAAGCCTTTGTCCATGTCTTAGACAGTCCCAAAAGTCACTTCCGGTCACCACCGGAAGTCTCACTCAAATGCTGCCCGAGGGTAGCCACCCAGATGCCCTGAACGACACGTTAACTTGACAGCCGGTGTCCAGGAGGTGCCACCCATCACACCACCCCAAATCCATTCACCGTACTCATAAACTACTTCAACAAGCTCATAAACTGCTTCTGCTGCTAATGCATTTGAGAGAGAACTAAATTCTACACAATAATCTGTGTACAACAGTGCTGCAGTCTTCAGCCCTAGTCCTCAGGTGGTGCTGCGGTAGTCAGTAGGGACATACTGTAGATTTCCACAGAATCCTGTAATAAAATAGAAAATAAACAAATATTTTATGTATCCTTAAGAAATGGGTTATTCACTGTTAACCCTTCCACTGTGCATCTCATCTGGAGGTATAGTTGCAAACTGCGACATTTGGGGAAGTATTAAGGTACAGCGCAAGACTTAAAACTCCCACAAGTACATGGGGGGGGGGGGGACTCGCATCAGCTTTCTCAGGCCTCCAGTATGCAGACACAATTATGGGAGGGAGGGATGGAGGGTCATGAACACTGTTCCTGGATGTAAAGTCCTTTTTAGTGAGTAAGCAACCAAGGGTAGTACATGCAGCATAAGCTAACAGTACTGCTGTCCAGCTTATGACCACAGCATCCCTTAAAAATTACAAAATACACATATAAGTAACTATGGCTATTTTGTGATGATTGATAAAGACTAAGTCAGGATCTTTTATGATACTATGTACAATGTTCAGATATCGGTGAACACAACGTTGTTTATGATGTTCACAGTGCAACGTAGACAGCCATAGCACTCTGCCATTGTTTGGTGCATCTATGCACCAATGTTTTCTTGCTCGTTTAGAACAGCTTAGTGGTTCGTTACGGTGCACAAAACTGTAGATGGTTATATATATTGTGCATGCGTATGCAGTGTAATAACAGGAAAACAGCATGTTTTATTGTTAAAAAAATTTAATATTTAACTCATTAAAATGATCCAAATATGTGTACTAACATTCTTCACATTTTATGACGTATTATTGACAACCCAATACAATATTGTACTTGGAAATAACCATGGTAAAACATTCAGAATACAAAGAAAATGTATATACAGTACATGTATAGAGTATATATATTATTAATGAGTGCTGTTTGAACTTGGTGCAAAATATGCATAATTAGGCTGAACTCTAATAACTGGTTAATAGATTATTACACTTGCCAGAAATGCTAAGTGTTTCATAATGGTGTATGAAAATGTAGATACTGTAGTTATATAGAGTATATGCAGCATAATAACTGCATAAACACTTTTATTGTTCTAAGAACATAATTGTCACTAATAAACACACCATATTTTTTAGCATAGCTGTGCTCCACACATTTTATTATATATAGATAAACTTGACAAATTGCAAGCTATTGAATAATATTACCTCAAGGAAACCAGAGGTTCTCTTGAGATGATTTCGGGGCTTAGCATCCCTGTGGCCCGGTCCTCGACCAGGCCTCCTTTTTGTTACACACTCCTCGGGAAGCAGCCTGTAGCAGCTGTTTAACCCCCAAGTACCTATTTACTGCTAGGTGAACAGAGTCATCAGGGTGAAAGAAACTCTGCCATTTGTTTCTGCCTCCACCAGAGATTGAAACCGGAACCTCAGAACTACGAATCCCGAGCGCTATCCACTCGGCTGTCGGGCCCCCTAAAATAAGTAAAACTATCTTTGTGGCAGCTCCCACCCCATTGATGGGGCTAGGGCAGACTTGTGACAGGCGAGTACCTATTCATTGCTAGACTTCCTCGCTAAATTACAGCCAAAGTATGCCGCATACAATTTTTTTTCCCTGTTATCAGGAAATGCATTTTAACAATATAGTATCAAAAACAAAATTTAATTAATTTTCTATGTGGACCACAGGATTAATAAGCACGCAGCTGGAGGGATAACAAGAAAAATGTGTGCAAGCCCTTTAAACAAATGTTAAATGCAGTATCAGCTGTTCATAACATGTTATCTTCACTTTAATTACACTAACAGGAAGTACTTACATGTTCTTTGTACAGAATGATCGATGTTCTTCAGTACTTTGGCTACGGAGACTGGCAGCTGTGTAGCCTGGCATGTCAGGTGCTCTGGAACTACTGTGCTTCAGCTGCTGATGTTGAGGATACGCTGGGACACAAAGAAACTGAAAAACTCATTTTTGTCTTAGAAGAATTTTTAGGTTAAAGAATTTTCACCATTGTTCTGAAGGAAAAGTTAGCAATTGATAGAGCTCATATTTGTTTATAAACTGTTTTTTAACTGCAATAATTTTCATTGTAATAGAATATTTTGTTATGGATAAGAGGCCTACAAATAATATTACTCTTCTTTCGACAGATGATGCGTCCTACTTTAACAACCCTGAGGTTTTCGGCGAGTGTGATCCAGAAACAAAAGACATTGTCTACCAGCTCTGGGAGGACTTTGCACATGTTGCTACAAAACTGCTGGATCGTATAGAAGAAAATCCTTCAGCACTCCCAGTCATTGGACCCTCATAGTCACTTAATGGTTGTTCTTGTAAATATAAAATAAATATACTGTATATATTCCTGCACTAAATTGTTTTTTAAATTAAGATTAGAAAACTGTTAAATGTTACTATGATTCTGTATACAATATATTTGGTAATTTCAACTGTGGGAAACAATTTTTTATATGTATGCATTACTTATCCAGTAGAAATATAGAATATTATATGTTGTCAGAGAGAGATCACCACAGATGTTTCTTGAAGAATTGGAAATAAAAGTATGTTGGGAAAATCTAGTGTGATATTTGTTATAAAAATGAGACGGCATGTGTTATTTATAAATAATATGAATACAGTAGTAGAATGTGTAGCACACACGGGTCCTGTAGTCCAGTACTCAGTACAGTCTTTTCATAATGGAAAAGGTCGCAGGTTCGATTCCTGTGCATGACTGAGGGATCTGGCACATTTCCTTTCATTTAATGCCTTTGTTCACCTAGAAGTAAACAGGGGTCCCAGGAATTGGGGAAATGCCTTGGGGCTGCATTCTGGATATGAGCATTCATTGGTCTATAGGGACTTTGATAAGCCTAACAGGGTGCCTATCTCTGACAATGAGAAACTGTAGTGTAGAACAATGATGAATATGTACAGTACTAACATAATTAAATTTAAAAACTAATAATTATTGTTTGCTAAAAAATCACTTATATTAAGTGTATGTAAACTAGTTCTAGACCACCACATGCCTGCAAGGTGATTGCATACTCTGTATTAACCTTAAGTTTATTCAGTATTGAAATTAGGCCTAAAGAGGGGGGAAAATTAACATGTGCAAAATGTTTAACTCCAATAATAGAACCTAGGTTTCATACAGAATCTTTTCCCCTGTGCTTTGGTCACTAAACTCTACACCCATGCATTAGAGAACAGTAATCCATATAATGGTGACTTCTGCAGGCCACTCTGACCCTTAAATTTGACAAGCACAGTAAATCCCTATTAATTCAGTCTTTGGTAGTAACCAACAATGATTTGCATGTTGGTCAGTAAAGTAAGACCAGTAACTGGATGGATGACCATATGTACACAGTCTGGCATTTGACATGGAAAATCTCAAGTTCTTTTGCATGTGCCTGAAGTTAAATTCCAAAAAAGGGCTCATGCCAAGCAACTGATAAGTGTTGAGCACAATGAAAGTGTGTTATAATATTTCTAAGATTTTTTTTTGTGAGCAATGCAATGGAATTAAATTCTCATCCCAGTTTTTCTCAAGAAGTGTTTGCTCAAAATATTTGGGTAGCTGACTACAGTGTTCTTAGGCTTATAAGTAATGATTCATGACTGCTCAAATCTTACATATATGATGGTGCCAGTGCCTTGCAGTTTTATTTAATTTCTTCCATAAGGCAAGCAAGTAGAGACAGTCAATCATCAATTATAAAAAAGGAGGGACAGAAGACTATATTGCACACATGAATATAACAACTTGAATTTTTACTTGCATTTGGTCTAAAACTACCACTCCTGTAAGATACTCTACTTTAGCTTGACCTCATTTCCTCTACAACACCCATGTTACGGAGACCTGTGTTGTGCACAAACATGCTCTATAGCCAATGTCTTTTCTGTAACATATCAGGATTATATTTTTTGCCATAGAAAACTATGCTGGTTCGGACACACTTTGGTGATATTGTAGTGTATTAGAGAAATTAGGTAAGGCATCCCTCCCTTCAACGGTGTACAGGAAGACCTTCCCCTCCTACAGGGTATAGGTGAACCTCTCCTGCAGTACACAGGTGCACTTTCCTTGTTTTCATGGTGTATGAACCCAAAGCATATTTTATATACTGTATATAAAGAAAATTGTAGTAAAATTATATAAATGGAATTACTGTAAATCATTTTTTTATAGATAAAAGAAGACATGAATAGAATAGAGGTTGGTTCAGTAATAACTATGTTAGTTGAAGACCCAAAACCAGAAGGAAGTGTGCAGGAGTAGCCTACATGTGAGATGAGCAAATGTGAGGAACTAATATAAATGATCCTAAAGGGTTGACACTAATTTGGAATAGCACTTAACTTTTGTAGATTATATGTTATTGAACAGTTGCGGTGTTTAATATGCTTGCAGTTCGGAGGAAAACAAAAATTATGCCAATACAAAAACCATGGGAATGCTAAATATGTTATCTGTCCTCACACTTGATGCACCACAGTTTTGACACTATCAGCATGAAGTTTTTGGCAATTTAGGGAAATAATAGAACTGCAATATTTCCACCTTCCTAGACTAATGAACATCGGCTGATAGGTTAGTGGGTTACCTAGGTTCGTATACTTCTGGTTAGCCAAACCAGGGTCGAAGTATGAAGATAATTTTACCTCTTTCTATAAATATCTACATTTCTATAGATCAATAATATACCACAGTGCATTATGCAAGTTAGAGCGATATTAAATAACTCGGCCTTTTAGTTCACTAATTCATATATCATTTATCTGGCACTGTCATTTATGAGGTCACTGTCACTGAATAATAAAATATACAAATAATTATACAACTATTTGAGGGAAGGAGACGAGGTGGACAAGGAGAAAGGTACACTACAAACTGTTAAATTCAATTCCTCTATGGCAAGCTCTGATCATTGAATTAATTATACTTCCAGTAGTGAAAACCCAGATTTAAGGAGTTTGTTCTTAGTACAGATGAGGCCCCCCCCCCCCAAAAAAAAAAAATGATACCATTGAAAAAATGACTGATCAGAATAGATAGATACCTAACATTTAGGGAGCATGACCAAGCAAATAGTATCAGCTAGAAAAATGATAGGATGGATTATGAGAATATTTAAATCTAGGGATCCCATCACAATGCTCGTACTATTCATATCACTTGTGTTCTCCCGCTTTAGTACTGTTTGATAGCGGTTTTTCCCTGCAGAGTAGGAGAGATTGCCGAAATTGAGGGAACACAGAAAAGATATACAGCATACATACACACAATAAAGCACCTAAATTATTGGGACTACCTCGAAGATCTCAAAATTTACTCCACAGAAAGAAGAAGTGATCACATAATATATACATGGAAAATACCGGAAGACGAAGTCCTAAATTTGCAGTGAAAAACATACTGGAGCAAACAATATGCCAGGAAATGCTGAATAAAACCAGTGAAGAGTACAGGTGCCGTACACACCATCAATGAACACTATGAGCATCCACTATGAACAGTCCAAAGCTGTTCAATATCTTATTCAATATTGCTGTTCCAGCAATAAAAAATATTGCCGGAACAAAAGTGGACTTTTTCAAGAAGTTAGTTTCCTGCAAGAAGTGCCAAACCAACAGGATAGTAATGAATATGTGGGCCTGTGGCCTGCTCCAAACAACAGCCTGTTGGACCATGCTCTGAAGTCAAGCCTGACCTGGCTGACCCCAGGACAGGTTTGGGAAGTAGAACAACTCTCAAAACACTCTCCAGGTAAGATACATATTTGGCAAGACCTGAATGTTAGCCCTTCAACTTGCAAAGCCTCAGCAACTGGCAGTCAAAAGTGAATTTGCCAAGCTTAAGAAATAAGAAGAATACAAGAAAGCTAAGCAATGCAAGTGGATACTGTTGTAGGGAGAAACTACAACTTAAATCAAGAAAGATGGCCCAAACTGATGGCAACATCAGTTTTAAAGCTATCAGTAGACAATAGAATCCTCATGAAGGAAGGGTTGCCCTTATTACTAACAAAATTCCTGAGTACACTACTGTGAGCAAAAGCCAAGGAGTGACCTTTGGATAATCTACTGGAGTAACAAGAATGCATCAGAGGGAGAGAGGCCTCTTAAAATAATATCAGTACAATGTCTATATCTATAGGCTCAGCTACTGTATTCCATTCAGCTTCAACACAAGGGTAGAACAAGGTGTACAAAATGCACTGGTCATCTTTCATGAAACTAAACATTAGTGAGCCCAAACATTACTGATTTAATTTTATGACTGCTATTATGATGTGCATTGTGTAAAGTTGGCTGTCTTAAGTGTTCTACAGCTGCCATAAAATAGTCATTCCACCATGGTACTAGAAATATATACAGTACATACTTGCTGTCCAGGGTATTGAGAGTACCCCAGCTGCATAGACCTTAGATGTAAATAGCCCACAGCTTTGTCAATCGATATAAAATCCATGACCCCCAGAAGCAACCGGGTCAGGAGCCAAAAAGTGAGGCCAATCAGCTCTATCCAGACACCACGAAGGTCACACCTTCCGCTGTATAAATAATAATTAGAAAGTGGTCACTACCAAGATGTCATCAACTACATTCTATATAAACTCCAGAACATAATCAGGAGAGCAATGATCATGGTCAGTTACTGTAGAGCATGTTCTTCATATAGATGAACTGTACATCAATCACAAGTACATATTGTATTTAACATGCAGAAGTTAAATTCCTCTTCCAAAGATGCAAGGAGGTCTTCCCTTAAGTTAGATAATAGATGGAATCCATTCAGGTTGCCAATGAAAATTAAGGGACACAAGAATTGTTAAACAATTACTTTAAGGTCTCTGCATGATATTAAAACACTTGGAGGTAGGTACCTATATCCCTATACAGTAGTGTCATACTGGTTTGGTTTTCTCATCTCATAATTACCTTACTTTACATATTGTACATCCTCCCAGCATGGATTTGTACAGCCATCTAAAGATTGGACTGAACAGGAATTACAGTAGATGGGACCTGTAGAAGATAGAACCACAAAATTATGAGAATTGATCTAGAAACAGCTAGATCTTTCAATAAGCATAACCCATAATAGGTCCCCTACAGTACTGTACAGAACCTCTAATTTCAAGGCCTTTTGTAAGGCCATTTTAAAATTGTCTTTTTTAGAGAAACCACAGTTTTTCTCTTTAGCAGATGCTAGTATCTTAAGATGTGGAGAAAGTTATAAAGAGAAGTTGGGACTTTATTTGATCTGGAGGTCTGTGGAGACCAGCCAGGTTGATCAGTCTCACTTGAGGACTGCCTCTGCATATGCCTCCAGTTTAGTAACTAGGCTGAGGGAACAACAAGTACCAGTAGCCTGTGCAAAAGATGTCCCTGCTGAAGGTAGCAGAAGCCACTGGCATGATATACTAACAGAACTGCCACTTTGAAAGCATTCTAAGAGCCTGTGGTTGGCTTAAAAAATGTTGCCTTCTCACCCAAGAGAAATGTCTTAACACGACTTGCACTACCAGGGCAAAGAGAGCAACTAGGGCTCAAGGAGCCCATGGTAAGCTCGGGTGGTTGGCTCCAAATCCCAGAGATAGCAGACTCATCCGAGTCTGGTGCTTAATGTAGGCTCCAATTGCTGGCTGAATTTTGGTAGGAAGGCCAAGTGCCCTCTTTGCCACTAAAGTTTCACTCTCGAAAATTTGCAGCTATTGAGCTGGAAGGGATAAACACACTGACTGTTTCCATAAAGTAAGGTGAGGGATTTCTGTGACTCGTGGTGGTATGAGAGATTATAAGTGAAGTGATCTAAGCATACAACAAATAAGTTACTGCACGAAACACAGCATGGCAGAATAAAATTGAACATAGAACTTCCTATGGCATAGGGCTCATGTGAATGACTTTCATTGCAGATAAAAATGTTTATACACATCTTTTTTTTTTTAAAGATATCTAGACACATCATGCACCTAAAATACTATATTTAAACACATTTAGAGAACAGTGATTTTTTACTAAGTGTAGTGGCTTATGTTTTTTATAAGAAATTGTGATAGTTTTTAATTTATTACTGTTGTTTATGTGTAAGCAAAAATCATATCGTTATGAATCGGTGTATATAATGTATATTGTAAGAAATATTTTGCCAAGATAGTCTGAGGAGGATAATACTGATAGTCAAGTAAGTTTGTACCTGTGAATTTATCTTTGGCTACCAATTTTGACTAATAGATTTAAGTTTAGATTTCTTTTGTGGTGAAGAAATATAAACAAGATAAATTACTCTGCAACAGTACTATATTTATAATTTTGTGATATTAATGTAGAATACAATATTGTATAACCATCAAGCATCAAGCTTGTAGGGAAATGAAATAGATTACAATCAAAGATGGAATAGTAAGAGAAACAATGGCAAGAAAACATTATACAGTCCTAGTCCTGCTTTCCAAGTCATTTAGAACTGAACTCTGTCAAAAAACTTGATTAGGCCTAATTTACCAGGTGAACCCTCCTGCCCATACAAAATATTAATTTAGTTACAAAACTAGTTACAGAAAGGAAACTTGACAAGGGTCCATCTGGGCCTCGACATTCTTGAAATGATGTTTGGATGAATGTGGTGATGTTCAGGAAGAAAGTGTAAGGATGAGGCTGAAAATCCATTGTTAAATGGAAGAGGTACACTAATCTTGAATTTGAACTTTCTTGCCGCACCTCCCAAAAGTTTGAGTGTTGCTTCAAACCGACATGTAACTCATGAAAAGTCTGTCTCTACACTGTACAAATTTCAGCACACATCAAGTAAAGTAGTTAGTTCTTTTGTCCATAAAATTTAAAATTGCTTTAAAGTACTGTACATGTATGTGTGTCTCCATGCTGTCTTTCCAAGTTTTTTCTCCGACTCCTCTGAGCAATTTTAACCTGTGCATGCCAGCCACATTGGCACGGCAAAGCAACATAAGAATCTCTTTGCTCAGCTTGTTCTCAGAACTACCATTACTTTCAACCTCATGAGCAAATATGTTTGTGTGCAACTTTTGCCAGTTAAAGCTTTTCTTGTCAGTGTTATAAATTTGTTTATAAAACTTGTTTAAATATTGTTTACACACAATAGTCCTAAGCATCACAGATTTCACTAGGCAACGAGCTTCACCTTCTCAAATGTCATCACAACATGTTTCCAGTTGTAGTTTCAACTAGTGGAGCCAAGGCCAACACACTACCTACAGTTTTGGCAGCCGTGGTGGCAACACATTTCATATATTCAGCAAAATAAAATGATGTTGGTTGGGAGTAGCACGTGTAGGTTGTGACACTACCCTAGGTGTCATCACAGCTAGTGGGAAAGGATGAGGATTTGAGTTTTGGAAAGAAAATTACTAAACGGACAGTTTGGACAATGGCAGTTTGGAAAGCAGAATTGAAAGCATATTTTTAACAAAATACATCAATTTCAGCAGTCCTTGAGTAGTTTTCAGTCTAATCCTAAAATATTTAACACTTAAAAGATTTGCGAACAAGTGTCTTGCCAGATGGAAGATTTACAATAAACTGATGCAAACTGTACATGTGCTAAACTATTATTCTTATACTGTATTTCTAACAAATTCTATATAATTTAACTTCCTTTAGCTAGAGGTGACATAGCTACAGCTCTGTGATGACCTTGTGTATCATACAACATATATTACTACAACAGTTAGTATGGACAGAATGTTGCAAACTAAAATATTGCTCCACTTGTAAATGTAGGTCCAATTGTAAATAAACTTTTATTACTGATAGTCAGATTAGTAAGCCCATATAGGTTTTTGTATACAGTAGGTGAGAATGATTTCCACTTATCTACTAGCTCAATCCTTGTATCATTTGCAGTACCAGTATATAAAAAAGCAGATGCTCAATTTGCTCATTATCTCTGTTTCCATTATTATCTATAAAAAGAATGCAGTATTGAGAGGAATGACAAGATTCTTTCCGAGTGGTTCTGCTGTTGCTTCTCTAGCCAGGGCCATGGGTCTGCCCTTGTCACTGATAACACACCAGGCTCTGGCTAACTTTGAGCCTCACCACAACAAGGAACTTGCAAATAGTCTTGCCACATAGTTTAGTAGTGAGGAAATAGTAGAAAATGTATCTAACTCGGTCCACACAGAAGAGACTGCTCTCCATAATGCAAAAGAGCAAAAACAAACTACTGTGCACTCCCTCTTCAAACAAGCCAAAAGAACACAAGGTTTGCCACCTATCACTCTGATATTGCAGAACCAGAAAACTACCAACTACACCAACCAAAACCAGGTGTCAGCAACAGCAAGCACAATAAAGTGGTGGTGAAGACCCTTCTCTTCAAACCCAGTCCTCCTAAGTGTACAGGTATAAGGGAAATAAAATACCCAAAGGGTGGGAATGTGAAGGAACCTAGGGACAACTCAGAAAGGAGCATTGCATTCCACGTGACACCCTATTTCTGCACATCGTCCCCTCAGTTGCTTTCTAGCCAAATACCAAGTTTAAAAAAACTAAGGAACAAAAAGTTAAAAAAAAAAAAAGTTTGCTAGTTATGTAATTTCAGTGATAATTTTTTTTTTTTTTTTTTTTTTTTTTAGATATATACAAGAGTTGTTACATTCTTGTACAGCCACTAGTACGCGTAGCGTTTCAGGCAGGTCTCTGGAATACGATCCCCGCAGCGAAGAATCGTTTTTACAACCAAGTACCCATTTTACTGTCAAGTTAAACAGAGGCTACAGTTAAGGATTTGCGCCCAGTAAATTCTCCCCGGCCAGGATACGAACCCATGACAAAGCGCTCACGGAACGCCAGGTGAGTGTCTTACCACTACACCACGGAGACTGGTGTTTGGTTTGTTATTTTGTAGCAAGTGGTCCATGTTGGGTCAATCAAAGAATGTTCTGACTGCCCACCCATAAAATACATGGCAGAACCATTTGCAAAGTTCCTTGTCATAGTGGTGTCCAAAATCAACATTCTTGCAAGTTAACAATGATATGGGAGGATCCACGGTCCTGGCCATGGAAGCAATCTAGTCAGCCCAGCTCCGACATCGACTGTTTGATTAGCATGTGTACCATATTGGGCAAGACATCACATTAAGATATATAGATAACATATTAGGTTATACAGGTACAGTATATTTAAATATTACTTCTCTAAACCCTAAAAATATTTTAGGTTTAATTAGTTTTACTATTATTATAACTTGGAACTTCATTGTTGTGAAGTTACACTAAAATATCTCTGAACTACATGCAGCTACCTATTCTAGCCAAGACTAAAGAGTTCAAACAATAATTCCTTTAAAAGATGAGTTTCATCCCAACTTACTGTAACTACAAATATTGTAAATAATGTATTATACCTTTGGTCCAACTGTTTGTAAATTATTAGTCAAGACATGCACATTAAGAAGTAGATTCAATTGTTGTTTTATAAATAAATGAATGTAATGTGAACAGTAACACTGCAATGTTGTGAATGTTATATAAATTTGTACAAAATATTAGGTCTATGTTGTATTCTGGTTGAATGAGGCTTGTTTGTACAGGATGCTGCTACTAAATGTAAATATTAAATGTCTCAAACCAGTAAAGACACAAAGCTACAGTGCAATCTTTGCCTGACTTTGTCAAGCCCAAACAACCTTGGCACTTTGTTACAAGTGCAGGCTTGCCAAGAACAATATCCACTTTGTACTAATATATAATATTATATACACACACACACACACACAGTACATACATACACACATACATACATATATATAGTGCATATAATGAATAAACTATTTGCACTGTTAGATGTACTAAAAAACTGTTTACTAGCACTTAAAACTTGTAATAAACATTAAAACAAACATGTTTATTTTTGTACCTGTTTTTCCAATTATTTGGCCACTTTACTAATGCAGCATCAAATGGCAGTTTATCACACTCTTGATCCTTGCTGTATCTTTTCAACCATTCATGAGATGCACTTTTTGCCCTATCTTGCCTTTCGTCTCTTTGTATCTCTTCTTTTAATGTTGATTGCTAGCCGAATATTTCCAACAGTGGCAATTAGTTTATTTTGCTCCTCTCACTCCACCTCCAAGCAGTTGAACAAAAAGATTTCAGAATGCCTAAATTGCTAAGGCATTCACTGCAAGATTGCAGTGTGTGTGTGTTTGATGGTGTTATGCTAGCCATATATGCTTTATAAAAATATAATGATATTGTCTAGTAACAAAACCCCCATTTATTCTGAGATTGTAATGTAGAGGGACTGAATTGGTTCTAATTTCACTAAATTGCTTATAATTTACTTTTGTATGGTTTCCTTTATCTACAATATGCAGAATGTTTAAACTGCATAAATTTCAGGCATTTTATCATTACTAGTAATGTAATTTGCTATTGGATGACCAGCTGAAGGGGAACAGAAAGCATTGTTGCACTGGCAAGGAAACTCAATCCAGATCTGGATGAAGTTGAACAGTTGTTGTACTCACATTTACAGGAGCTCTCCAATGAGGTCCTTATAAAATTAAAAATAATAGAACAAAAACCGTAAACACCAGACTAGAAAAGGCACAGACAGCCCTGGACAAAAACATTCATGCCACCAGTGCAAACCCTCAGTGAAAATGCAAAGCCCCAACATGCACAAGGAGTAGGTCTAGGTCTGACTGCAATATGCAAGACAACACAGTTAACTACTAACATACATCAATAGGCCTTGCATTGAAGAACAAGGACTATGTGTTACATGAAGGTGTAGTGACTTGAGTGGGGTCACCTTGTAGAAGAGGACCCCAAACCCCCTCAGAGCAGGCATATCTGGTCAGTGGAGGCAAGGAAATGTAAGCTGACTACCTGGGAAGGAAACCTGGACTCTCAGTCAGAGCAAAATTCAAGGCTAGGGCACATGCAGTGTGACGAAACAACTGTAAAGGAGAAAAGAAACAATGTCAAAGCAATGGACTCCAGTGGAACTTATGATCCACAGATAGCCAACAATACTATCCTTAAATATGAAGTTGAGCATGGGTCCCATCATAGGTCCTGTGGCCCCTGAAGCTGGGATCAGACGAGTAAGTGAGGGAGAAAACTGGCGGGGACCCATGCTGACCTTGGCTGCTCCCTAGTGATGGTTAGGTGCAACAAGGTTGAGTGTTTAGACTGTGGCAACGATAGCTTTCCTTGTTACCTTCAGATACCTAGTTCTCTTCAAGAGTGCCAAATTCTTGTCGAGGCTTCTGGTAGGCAAGGACGTATCTAAGGTGTGTGTTTTGTATTTCACTAAGGCCTGGCTGGACTAAATGTTTCAGAAGCAGCACATCTACAGTAATGAAGGTGACCCCGCAATATGTAATCAATGCATTAACTACAACATCCACAGCATCATCACATGTTGCTCCCTCATCCACCAATAATTTATTAATCTCCTATCTTATCAATGAGCATCACTTGCAATAAGCAGGACAGCTCCAGCATTTTTTGTAAATAGAATAAATGTTTGTCCATTAATTTTTTCTCAATATGCTGATTGTTTTAATTCATGAAGCTCTCAATTATATAAATAGGATTTTCAAAGTTTCAAACAAACAACTTATAAATGGCTTTGAGGAATGCATTTGTAATTGGGGACCTCCTGTATTGTTACAATGCACTAGTGCAGACTTCAGAATTACTTAGGGCCACAGTTCAAATAAGATAATATGATTCTATATGTACACATGCCTATGATGTAGGGAAAAACATACTTGTTTTGTGGTGAAGTGATATGTCCTTGGTTCGAATCATGCACAGGTTGGGATAATTTTGCAATCTTTCCTAGGCTTCTTTTTCCTGTTACTTTGCAGTAAAGGGTAATTGAAAGCCTATATATAAATTGACTGGCTGATCATGCTCTGGAAAAAAAAAATATGCATGGTAAAACCATATAATAAGCTGTAATAGGGAGATTTCTTTGCCTGCACACAAGAGATTAACAAAATAAATTCCAGCTCTTATCCCCTCTCACGTAATACAAATTATTATCTACCGAAGGAATGTGAGTAAAATACGTTCATTTCATAAATTTTTATTATTAAAATTTATACTTAAACTTAGACGGTTTACACACTGAAGGTTTTAATGGTGGTGGAGCATACTTGAGAGCAAGGAGAGAGAGTGGGGCTGGCCGCTTGTGGTAGTTGAGCAAGGCTAGAAACCTCTGTAATGCTGATGGAGTCAATCGCACCTCCATATGCTGGGCAAATTTAATCGTTTCATCAGCCCCTCTTAGATTTCCTGTATCACCTGAGAAAAGAATGAATATTTTTTTTTATTCTATTATACATTTAACAAAAATCCAATAAATAATACAATAAACTAGAGGTTTAACATGCGAGAAATGTCACAAGGTGTATATGGAATTTATGGACTTGGGACAGTACATGATAAAGTGCCGAGTACAGTATGTATGCACTTGGTCAAATATTATTAAAGGCTGAGAAGAACTTATATGCAGAAAGTAGAGCACATGTTAGAGTTAATAGCTAATTAATGATTAGTTTGATATTAAGGTTGGAATATGTCAGGATTGTATGATGTCCTAACAGCAGTTCATACATATATTTTTATATGATCATTACCGTGTTTCTCACTTTCATGGCATGTGGAGGCATCAACCCAGAGGAAAAGACAAAAGTTATAGCTTTTAATTAATAAAAACATTAAAAGTATCATCATCCACTCGTTACATTATTTACATAATACGACATTCAGCACAAGTCGTAAGTAATGCCACACTACAGCAGTCATCCACAGCAGCAATCCACCACTTCATGAAACTGCTTATAAACTGCCAGTCACGGCATTCAAAATACTTAGTTAACTTGCTTACAAATTGCCTACACTCATGTAAATTTCCCATATCCTGTGTGTTAGCCACTCTCACTCCCTGTTCCTCACTCACTCATCATGTCAGCCCACCTCCTCAGCTTCCTTTTTCTCTACCCTCAAATTCACTCAATTACAAACTCTTCACCAGTCAATTGCCATCTATTTATTCAACATGCCAAACCCATCTCAGGACCCACTCCTCAATCTCGTATTTGTGAAGTCATTTACATAAATTAAAAACAGCAATGGTCCTAGGACAAACCACTTTGGAACACCACTTCCACTTCTCTCCTGCCTGTTTTCTCTCACTGTGACCCTTTGTTTCCTGTCTTAAATATTTTTCTACACAGTCCAGTGCCTTTCTTCTTATTCCCACCTTTCTCTACATTTTGTGTATTAGTCTTTTGTGAGGAACTGCATCAAAAGCTTGATTTGGCAGTTTAGGAAGATGCAATCTGCCCATCCTTTCTTCTCTTGTCTTGTCTTGTATTATTTTAGTGACCCTGAAGTAGAATTTAATCAAGTTTGTTAAGCATGATTTTCCCTCTCAGAAGCCATGTTGTGCTGTTATAAAATTTACTCTCCCCAAATGTTCAACAGTCATTTTTCTGATGTCTTTTCTAGCATCTTGTATGGAATACATGTTAATGATGCTACTTTATAGTATAGTGCTTCATATCTCTCGCCTTTATTGAATACTCGCTGTACCCGTCCATGCATTGCTGTGACTTAGCAACGCATGGATGTTGCTGAGCCACAGCAACCCCCCCCCATCCTCCCCACCATCCCCCTTGTCCTCCCCACCCTTTTCCTCTTCCTTGTCCCCTAGTCCTCCCCACCATCCCCCGTCCTCTCGACCATCTCCCACTCCCCCATCCCCCTCGTCCTCCCCACCATCACCTACTCCCCCATCCCCTTGTCCTCCCCACCATCCCCCACTCCCCCGTCCTCCCCACCATTCCCTCACATGAAAAAGGCAGATTTTCAAAAAACCAGCGTTGAATGCAACAAAACGCTATTTTCTGGGTGAGACCCGGATGCTCCCTGGAGCTATCCAGGCTGATATGTATATCATTAGACTTTGGCATCAGTTAATGTGAATTAAGTTCTAGGCCTACCAAGAACCACGAGCCAGAACCTGCCCCCCCCCCCAGAGGGACGCGAGGAACAATGGGCTGTAGAAATGCACATGGGATTTGGAGCATTCTATGTCTGCCATGGACCGGGCCAAGCACCCAGAAAGGCAAGCGCCTCAAAACAAACCCCTATTCTGGTTAAAACGACTAAAATAGACAAATGAGTGGACAGAACTCCCAAAATGAAAACAGGCAAATGAGCATGACGTCATACGAGCCACACTGCATGTCTGAGCATGTCTGCTGCATGTTTGCACTGCGAGGATGGGGGGGGGAAGGAAACCCCAGACCCACCGCGCTGGCCATCGACCCTTCAGTTCGAGGCTGGATGTCAAAACAAGTGAAAAACTGCCGACCGGGGGAAAGGGGGGGTGGGGATGCCAGAGAGCCTCCAGGTCTCACCAAGAAAATGCCGTTTCATTACATTCAACGCTGGTTTTCTTGGGGGAGCCCCTTTGACTTCCCGGAGCTACATAACCAAAGACAAAAACTTACTCAAACAAAGACTTACCCAGCAGTCACCCTCAACTCGAAGTCCAGACAACAGGATGCAACCGCCGACCCAATATGACACAGGCCTGACCAGGCTCAGGAACATTCACGACGTAGTGTGCAGCCAGGACCCTGTTCGCCTGCCAAAAACCCCGTGCCTGAATGTCAGCCCAGGACATATTACCAAAGACGGCAGCCAATGCAGCAAATTTATGAACGTCATGTGCCCGGGAATAGACCACAGGCTGGCTAGACCGAATAACCCTGCGGACGACCTGAGACCCAAACCCTAAAACAGGGAAGAAAGGAAACTGGATCAACCCAAAGTGCGTTCCGGTCACAGAGGTCGTGGCGTGCAAATAATGGTGGAGAGCCGCAACTGGACACAGCACATTATCCACCCCAGCCTGACCAACCAAGCATCAACAACCCAAGGATCCCTCTGGAAAGCAGCCATCTCATTCTTCGCCAGAAAAGGAGATGGCTGCAAACGAACGAACCTATCACCTCGACCAAAAGAGCAGAAACCATTGCGCAGGAGGAGAGCATGAGACTCCCCAACCCAACCCCCAGAGGCCAATGCCAACAAGAAAAAGAGCCTTAGAAAAACAATCCTGAACCAAAGGGGCCATAACAAACCGAGGAGAAGACAAATAAGAGAGCACTCTGTCCAAAGACCAGGATGGCTCAGAAGGCGCATGAGCAGGCCAGAGGAGAAACAACGCACGAGACAGCTTGCGAAACGGTGCAGAAGTAATATCAGTACCGAAAGCAAGCTGCAGCGGCTCCATCAACGCCACACGACATAAGACGACAGTATTCGGCATAAGATGACGGTCTTGAAACAGCCACGAGAGAAAGGACAAAACAACCTTAACCGAAAGCGAAGTACAGTACAGCAACAAAGAGACAAAAAGAACCGGAAGGACTTCTAGGAAACTTCATACTGCCTCCGAGGTGAAGCCCGCAGGTGGGACACCATCAAAGAAGCCACCTGATCACTATACAGATGGTGATAGACTCGAGTCAAAAGGACCAAACGCGAAGACTCGAGGAGAAGATCGAACCAGTCTCATAATGGACCGGACCGATCTGCTGAAAAAGGCGGAGCTGCGGGAAAACCTCCAGATTCGGGCACCAAGCAAGCAGCACCTGAAACCAAGGCTGGGGTGGCCACCTTGGGGGCCAAAAGGACTACTCTTCCCTGGTAAGTCTCCAAGCGAGCCAGGACCTGGAGCAACAGCTGAACCGGAGGGAAGAGGTACAGGAACCCTCCCACCTCGACCAGTCCTGCCGAAAGGCATCGACCCCGACAGCCTAGCAGTCAGGGAAGGGCACCACATATATTGGAATATGCCTTGACCATTCTGACGCGAAGAGGTCCACCCCCAGGCGCCTGAACGTCTGGCAGAGCTAACTGAATGAGTCGGCGTCGACCGTCCTTTCTGTGGACAGGGGAATGAACCGGGGCAGGCTGCCCGCCAGGATGTTGGACACCCCATGGACGTGAACAGCCAGGAGAGCCAAACTTCGAGAACTCATCTGCTGAATCACCCGAAGCGACCAGCCCTAAAGAGCCAAGGGTAGCATTGAACCGCCTCAGTTCAGGCAATGAACCACCTGGGAGCAGTCCGAAGATCCGCAGACGACTCGAACCCTCCGAAGCGAAAACCACACCTCCGCGAACTCCTGCACCGTCTTGTGGGCCCAAGATAAGGACAGACCCCACCTTCCCTGGCCAGCCTGGTGAGCACTGGTCACAAAGCCTTAGCCGAGAGACGACGCGTCCGTGAATATATCGAGCAAGGGGCTCAGGTAGGCGTCAAGGCACTGAACCCTGAAAAACCTGAAGAGGACGGCGGCAATGCAGCAGCCGAGACAAGCCCCCCCCCCCACCCCACCCCAAAAAAAAAACACATGCGAGACCACAGCCAAAGGAGAGACTCCGGAGGGAGTGACAAGGAAGCGGTCCAAGAGTCCCACACAAGACCCAGTCAAGTCCGAACCTGGGAGGGGACCAGATGGGACTTCACCAGTAACCCAAACCTGGCTAGCTGGGAAAGAACCAAATCTCTGGCGAGTAGACGCACGGAAAGACTGGGAGCCCAGACCAGCCAGTCGTCGAGGTAGGCCAACACCCGAACACCTAACAGATGCAAATGGGCCACCACAACCCAGTTGAGGCATGTGAACATGCAAAATATTGAGCCAGGTTCAGCCCGAATGGGAGACAATGAAAGCGGTAATTGAGACGCCCCACAACAAACCCAAGCCAGTCCCTGAACCCCCAGATGAATCGGGATGTACCAATACACGTCCTTGAGGTCCAGGGACACCATCCAAGAGCCAGGCTCCAACAGAAGCCGAACCTGGGTCTGGAGCTGGAGCCACACGACCATGCCACAATCATATCAGCCGAGAACTTGAAGGGTGGATCGCCGGCACGGTGGGATGGGGCTTCCCCTTCCCCCTCCAGGAGAGGGGGGGGGGGAGCTGCATAGACATGCGGCGCAACTCGTGTGACGTCATACTCGTTTTCATTTGGAGAATTGTGTCAATATAAACCAGAATAGGGGTTATTTTGAGACTCTTACCTTTCTGGGTGCCTGACCCGGTTGATGGCAGACATAGAATGCTCCAAATCCCATGTGCATTTCTATAGACCATTTGCTCCTCATGCCTCTCTGAGGGGGCCAGGTTCTGGCTCGTGGCCCCCCCTGTAGGCCTATAACTCCATTCACACTGACTGATGCCAAAGTCTAATGATATACATATCAGCCTGGATAGCTCCGGGGAGCCGAAGGGGCTCCTTCCAGAAAAAGCATGTTTTTACCTGTCACAGGTGCTGCATTTATATAGTAGGCATATAAAAACATGCACATATTTGAATGGAATGTTGTGTCAAAATCTCAATGCAATCGGTGAAGAACTTTCAGAGAGTAGCGATTTTTAACAAAACGAACATTTACATTTTATTTATGTAGAAGATTGGAAATACATTTGCCTTTTTCAAGATCCAGTATCTCTCCTCTTTCTAGTATAATGAACACTATATCTTGAGGTTATCTTGAGATGATTTCGGGGATTTTTAGTGTCCCCGCGGCCCGGTCCTCGACCAGGCCTCCACCCCCAGGAAGCAGCCCGTGACAGCTGACTAACACCCAGGTACCTATTTTACTGCTAGGTAACAGGGGCATAGGGTGAAAGAAACTCTGCCCATTGTTTCTCACCGGCGCCTGGGATCGAACCCAGGACCACAGGATCACAAGTCCAGCGTGCTGTCCGCTCGGCCGACCAGCTCCCCTACCACGGCCTAATATATGCACATCAGCCCGGTATAGCTCCGGGGAGCCAAAGAGGCTCTCCACAGAAATATTGGTTTTGTGAAAATTTTTGGTGGTCCAGGAGCGCATCCCCTATTTACAGCATTGAACCCATGGAAAATCTCATTCTGCATTAAGAACAAATGCTATATGAACACTTTTCAGGACATAACCTGTTCATTGTAGGGGGACTGTCTGTATACAAAACTTGCTCTTGCTGTTAAAATACAGAGTCCTTACCTACTAGACCTAGGTAACACACCTACACCTAGTAGTGTGGTTCTGGCTATTAAGTATGACATATATATACTGTAGTGTATGTGGATGGGGTCATAAGGGTAATCAGGGTAATAATAGACAGGGATGCCAAATTTGTGTTACACATGCCTATAAATCTTATAGTGTATCAAATTTAATGAACACAGACACACACTGTGATGAACATCACTCTGCATTTTGGCTGACAGTATTGGCCTAGTCTTTGGTTTTGTCACGCGTGTTTCCCTCAGCCAGCCTTTCTCCATCTGGTCGGTGCCATGCTTGCTTGTGGTTCACGCAGGCCCTTTTGTGGTTTGCCCCTTTGATGTGGGCATTGGGGGATGGGGGACAGCTCATCCGGTTTGCTAACTCCTGGTCCAACAAGTTGTGGGCTTTTTGGATAATGGATAATTTCTCATAACCTGCAGCAGAGTTAGTTCCTCCTCCTTCCGAATGTTTGGGTCTTTCCAGGCAGGCTTTCTTCCTCTTTTTGCATATGGATGGGGTCATAAGGGCAATCAGGGTAATAATAGTCAGGGATGCAAGTAAGTAAGTAATTATCAAAAGAAGGCACCAAACCGGGAAGGCTATGTAGCACCATCAAATACGCAAAATAATCAGAGGGCGCTAAATATCACCAAGGATGCCAATACGAGAACAAAAACGCATAAGGCGAACGATATCAAAAGTATCCGAGTCACCAAGAATTCTATCGAGGGACAGGTGACCGCGAGGGGCGGTCGGAAAGCAAGACACACGCTCGTCCTGGAAGTCAGGACATTCAAGAAGGACATGCACGACCGTAAGAGGGACAATGCAACTAGGACAATAAGGAGCAGGGCGGCGCTCCATCAAGTGACCATGGGTTAAGCGAGTATGGCCAATACGCAACCTCGCCAGAGCTGTTTCCCACCGCCGATTACGGTGGAAGGAGGACGGCCACGAGGAAACACAACATTTAAGAGTACGTAGCTTGTTACCAGTAACAGACAACCAAGAAGCCTGCCAACGGGTAAGGACTGAGGAATGGATAACCGGGTAAAAGTCGGAATACAGAATGCCTTTACGAGAGATGGGACAAGAGCGGACAGCTTCCTTGGCGGCAGCATCCGCACGCTCATTTAAAGACACACCAATATGGCTGGGAACCCAACAAAACTCAACCGACTTAAATTTACTGTGAACGAGAAACAGCCAATGCTGGATCTCGACAACTACTGGATGAACCGGATTAAAGGACCCGAGAGCCATGAGGGCACTACGAGAGTCAACAACAACCACAAAGGAAGACTGACAACGAGAAAGCAGGAGACGAAGAGCATAGAGAATAGCATAAAGTTCCGCTGTAAAGATGCTAGTCTCCGGAGGCAAGCGACACATATAAGTGCGATCAGGAAAAACAACAGAGTAGCCAACACCGTCCGCTGACTTAGACCCATCGGTGAAGACAGAAACGGAGTGGGAGTGAGAAGAAAAGTGTTCGAGGAAAAGGCATTTTAGAACCGTAGGAGGGGTAAAAGCTTTAGTGATACGGGTCAAGGATGTACAAAACCGCGGAAGAGGGACCCTCCACGGGGGCAAAGAAGGAACAACACGAGGAGAAACATCAGAAATACGAACGGAGAGAGAATCCTGTAGGTGAGATAACCGGACAGAAAGAGGGAAGTGGTGAAGAGGAACAGGAACCGCAGGAGGGGTAAAAGTTAAAGCACGACAGAGGCGAGAGGAAGGATGTTGCAAGGACCACGCAAGATAGCGAAGACAGTAGCGATCACGGCGGTCCTGGAGAGACAGGAAGCCAGTGTCAACATACAAGCTAAGGATGGGAGTCGAACGAAAGGCACCAGAACTGAGGCGCAACCCAGTATGGTGCAAAGCATCAAGACGGCGAAGAGTAGAAGGAGAAGCAGACGAGTAAGCAGGGCAACCATAATCGAGCTTAGACAGGACGAGAGAGGAATGTAAAGCAAGGAGAGTGCGCCTATCTGCCCCCCAAGAAGTATGGGACAAGACCCGAAGGAGGGTAAGGGCCTTAGAGCACTCAACACGGAGGTAAGAGATATGGGGAGACCAAGACAAACGAGTGTCAAGGAATAACCCCAAAAGCTTCGCGGAATCTTTGTATTCAAGGGGATGACCATAAAGTGACAAAGAGGGACGAAGAACAACCCGTTTCCGCGTAAAAGTCATGGCACAAGTCTTAGAAGTAGAGAACTTGAAGCCATGACCTGTGGCCCAAGACGACACGGCATCAATTGCAAGTTGAAGCCGGCGTTGAAGGAGAGGCGAATCATCACCCTGACAACAAAGGGTAAGATCATCGACATAGAGAGCGGAGAAGACACCAGAAGGAAGAGAGGAAAGAAGACCATTGAGGGCAACCAGAAAAAAGAGTAGTGCTCAGAACACTACTCTGGGGCACACCTTCGTATTGCCGAAAAGAGGGAGAGAGAGCGGTACCAAGGCGCACCCGAAAGGAACGACGAGAGAGGAAGCTGCGGAGAAAGAGAGGGAGATGACCACGAAGGCCAAAAGAATGAAGTTGAGATAGGATATGATAACGCCAAGTGGTGTCGTAAGCCTGTTCTAGGTCAAAAAGGACGGCAACAACGGAGGTCTTCGCAGCAAAAGCAGTACGAATACAGTACAACCTCGATTCAACGTACCCCAATTCAACGAATCTCCGGCTAGTTCGCACACTTTTCAGGCCGAATTTACTCACCCGGTTCGACGAACAATGGTTCGCCGAAGCGAGGGATGTTCGGATTTGCTTACGATGTCCAGACAGAGTTCACAGACTGGTGGAAAACTTTCCCATTCTATAACAGATTACAATTAATAATTCTCTCATATGACAAGTTTGATCACACAAGTGGATCACACAAGTGGACCACACAAATGGACCACACATGTGGACCACAAGTGGTCCACAAGCTTACGATTTTGGGACAGAGTTCACAGAGTGGTGGAAAACTTTCTCATTCTATCACAGATTACAATTAATAATTCCTTCATAAGAAGTTGGATCACACAAGTGAACCATATGAACCAAACACCAGCCAAAATGGTCCACACAAACACCAGCCAAAATGGTCCACACAAACACCAGCCAGTGATCCACACAAGTGAACAACTGAGTTTCCATGATTTTCGTTCACTGATTTGGGGCACACGTATCTTTGTACATTAATTTAAAGGATGAAGCGTGATTACCTAGCTACATGTGGTAAAATCTCCTTATAGACATTTTCTGTGATGAAACAAGATGAGTGAGGGTGGACAGATAAGAGAATACTATACTGTAAACCTCACTTTACAGTGAGGTTTCACTCACTTTCGTCTGTGTGTCGTCATAGTTCAATGACCCATAACTTTTGAAAGTTTCATATTAATAATAATTTCTAAAACCAGTGTTTTTAATAGCTTTTTATTATCCTAATTAAACTAAACTAAATAAACCGAAAATATGCTGTAACATGATAGACATCTGCTCTTTGA